GTGACTTTGGCTCAGGGTCGTGAAACACTGTCTCAGCATGAGTAACATTTGTGCCAAAAATGAAGTTGTTTTAAATTAAGTTGTTAGTTGGATTTATTTTGTATCTTTCTTTTGTAGGTGGAATCAACTACAGACGACAACTTTTCCCAACCAACACCTTTTGGAAGTCAGTTATCATCTGAATGGCAGGATTCTCAAGAGCATGAAGATAGTCCATTACGTAAAAGGAAGGCCTTGAATACTTTTCTTGATGCCATAGGTGTTAGTCCAATAAAAAAAACACTAACTGTCGATTTTGAATCTGCATCAAAAAGGACACAGAATGATTATCTAAAAAAATCAAAAGATATTATTCACAACATCATTTCTATCATCGCCCCTAACCAAGAGGCTCTGTTAGAAAAGGCTATTTATTCAAGTAATCCAGACAGCGAAGACACAAGCATTATTGAATCTATTTCAAAAGCTTATTCTAGCATGACCAGCTGGGGAACTCAGAGACAACTTCTTTCTTTATTGGTGGAGGACCACAGTTACAATGAGATTAAGGAGTACATACCATCTCTGTCAAAATACAAGTATACTGCGGCTCGTAAGCATGCTGCGATCAACGGCATTGGCATGCCAATAGAGAATAGATCACAGACAAGAGAAAAAGCTACAAAGGAGCAGATAGAACATTTCTTAGAGTTCATAATGTCTCCAGCAATAATGACTGATTCACCATTTGGTACTTGTTCATATAAAATCTCTTCAGGAATAACTTTGAATGTTCCCAAAATAATTCTGAACAGTGTACGGACTAGAACTGTATCATTATATATGAAGTTTTGTGAGGAAGTAGAGTTTCGAAATGTTCTTTCTGAAAGGTCATATATGAGGATCTTGGAAGCAGTTGAACCAGGTATCAGGAAGTCAATGAGAGGACTTGATAATTTTGCCGCTGGTGGAAGCCAGGCTTTTGATGACCTCAAAAACGTTGTTAGAGTATTAGGTCAGCTTGGAAAAGGACACGAATGGTCAGAGAAGATGACTGGCATGCTTAATGAAGGAAAGCAGTACTTAAAAGTTCAATACAAGGTACTACTAACTTTTCAGATGAAATCGTAGATTTGCTGTAGATTCATTTAACTTTGGGACTACCAACATTCACCTAAACCTTCGACTCAGGTGAGCTAAAGTCATAGCGCATCGTCTGTCTGTTGTCTGTTATCTTTTCACATTTTCCACTTCTCCTTTGCAAGTACCCAAGTCCTTTAAGAAGTTTGTGTTTTTTGGGCTGAGCCATCAACAGATACAGCTGGCTGCTGCATGGCCTCTGATTGGCCGACACATTTTCAACTTCCTCTTCTGCAAGCACTGTGATCCAATTAAGATTTCTATTGATTTTAGGGTCAGTCGGTCAAAATTCAAGCTCTCATTGTCCTTGTGTATGAAAATAATTTCTTGACTCAAAGTATGCTTTGCAGTTGTTTTCAATATAGGATCAGTACATGACTGTGGGTCAAAGGTCATGGCCTCATTAACTTTTGTTGCGGCGGGGTATTTGTCCTGGGGGACAGCTCTAGGTTGATTCTGATAACATACAAAGACAAATGTGAAATGGTGCTCACTACATGTAAAGGTTTCTTGAATTGTCAGAAATTTTTTCTCTGTGTTTTGATTTCTGTATGAATTATTATTCACTCACATACTCAGAAGATGAAATCAAACAATTTCTTCTTGTTATTTTCAGTTGCACATCAGTGAGAACTCTGAAATACCTGACCACTGCTGTACTCATGCCCTGTCATCAGAGGACACTGCTTATTCAAAAGCATGTGACCATTCACATCAGAAAGTTTGTGATGAATGCAATGGCATCACCAGTCTATTGGATGAGTTACAGGGAGCAATTAGTTGCCATGAGGTTAACTTCACTGATCATGACCAGAAAGATGACATTCAATATACAGTTGCAGAGGTATTTAAACCAGAACATAAAAATCAATATTTGACTTGTACCAGTATTATTACGTACCTAGTTGTCAAGTGACCAAGTACGGGATGATATCTGGGTAGTAGGTTTCTTCCTGGTCACTCTATGACTAGGTACCGATTTTACCCCACCGATGACTATTTTGACATTTACCATCTTTTAAAAATTTGTCATTGCTTCATTATTGCCGCCTGAAGTTTACCTGCTGTGACGTCAAATAAACAATGGAAATAAAGTGATGTCACAATATGCTCACAATTCATTTGAAGGTAACAGTTTATAAAGTTGAAGGTGACCAGATAAAAGATACACACTGCTTTCACGTGACTATTATGAACCAATCACTGACCGAGTTGTCACTGCAAACTAGTGAGAGGTGGGGTAAAACTTACAAGGTGTTTTTTACTGCTGAGTTTTATTTAGGGTATTAGATATTCCTGGAAAATTTGCACATCCATCCAGAATCAAACACCTAAGAACATCCAGTGTTAGATATTCATTACCTCTATTTACATTGCTACCGAATTTTAGATAACCTAATTTATATAAGGGAGATGTATGTTACATGTAACAAAATCAGAACTTAATGTGATACACTTATCTACTTGCAGAGTGTGAAGTTGATAAAAGAATGGAAAATGCACATTATTCGCACAGTAAACCAAGACAGAGCAAGAACGAATATTTTGGAAAATATGAAGTCGGATGAAGCACTTCTAGAAAGAGATTGGGCTATGAAGTTCCTTCCCCTACAATACAGGTATTTTCTCAGGGTTTTGCAATACTTTTAGGCTGATTATATACCTTCACGTAATTTTTCTCTTGTAATTCATAGGTCACTATCCCCTCACAACAAGGTTGCAGGGGGATATTGTAATGCCAGCGTTCATGGGTACTTGGATTTGTCTCTCTGTGTGTATTTGTTTGCATGAAAATACATTATAAGCAGGATACAGGTTACAGTTTTGATCCAATAGATTTCAGACTTCATATGAACACTGTCCTTGCCTCCATAGCTGAGCTGCCACCCCCATCACCAAATGTCCCTAACACTTATCATTTTGAATACGTGAGACTCCCCCCCACCCCCGCTTTCCTCTACTCCACACATGCTCATACTTTATATATATATATATATTTATATATTTATATATTTATATATATAGCTGAGCACCCTCACCCCTTTATAATTTCTAAAAAATTGTCCCACTTTCATACCCACTTTCTTCTTATGGTCCCAACTAATAACTTCTAGTTCCACATGATAAAGCGAATCCTCAGAAATGAGTTTGTAATTGGAATGATATTCTTCCCTTCATAGACCAGGTTTTGTGTGAAAAATCTTCTCTATTCACAACTAACACACTTCAAACATGTATCCGTGTTTATTCCGTTCATTGTCAAGCAAGTGATCAGGTTTTCATGGAGTGAAGCTCAAAATTTGTTTTCAATCTAGAAGTAAGACAGTGCTTCATTTTATCCCCCCTCCCCCACAAACAAGTTTGGGGGTGGTGGTGTTACATTGAAATTACCATGTCTGTCTGTCTGTCATCTGTTTGTCCAGACCGTATCTCTGCAGTTGTAAAATAAAATTGCATCATTGTTCTCAGGATTATTGCCCAGGACCTAAGGGTGTGGGTTCCCATTGGCAACTTAAGGGTCTCTTGTTACAATATTTTGAGAAATTTATGAGATTTTGAGAAACATTTCAAGTGACAAACTTACAGTGTCTTTGACTGTAATGTAAATACATTGTAACTTAGTATTGCTCATTTATTTCAGAGAATCCCAAGCAAAATGGTTTGCTAAAAGAGGGCTGTCATGGCATATCAGTGTTCTGTCATGGAAAGAGGAAGCCTTAAGATCAGCTACCTTTGTTCATGTTTTTGATATTGCAAATCAGGATGCAATGACATCAGCTGCCATTCTGCAAGATACTCTGGGTCGAATAAAGAATCTTAATGCAGCAATACAGAATGTTTATGTACGGTCTGACAATGCTGGCTGTTACCATTCAGTTTATGGCATTGGAGTTGTTCCTTGCATTAACCAAATGAACAGAAATGATATGAATATAAAACGAATGGATTTCTGTGACCCACAAGGCGGTAAATCAATTTGTGATCGAAAAGCTGCTCATATAAAATGGTACATAAAAAGATTTGTGATTGAAGGAAATAATGTCTTGAATGCCAGTGACTTCAAGGCTGCTCTTGAAAATAAGATGAACAATGTTCAAGTTATTGTGTCTTTGCCACCAATTTCCAAACCACCAAAAGTGTTGCTGAAATTACAAAACATCAGTCAGCTTTTTGATTTCAGTTATGACAACAGAAATTTCACTGCTTGGAAGCAGTATGAGATCGGAAAAGGCAAAACAATAAATTATGACACTGCAGGAATTAATTTAAATTGGGTAATCCCTGAAATTACTCCTAAGTCTGTATCTGAGGTCACATTAACATCTTCACCCATGGAAACACAGACAAACGTAGATTCTTCATCACCCACATGTCAAGAACAAGATGCAACAGCATCTTCATGTATAGATGTCAGCAACCAAGAAATGGTGGAATTGTCGTGTGCAGATGACTGCAGCAATATATTCACCTGTCCAGAGGATGGATGCATATCTACATTTTTAAGATACGGCCATTTGTGTAACCACTTAGATACAGGAAACCACACTTTTTCAGTTGAGAGAATGGACTTGCAGGATCGCTCAAGATTTTCATATGCTATCCTAATTGAAAATAGACTTACTGGTCCAAATTTGAATGGATCAAAAGATGCTTCTTCAGGTGTGAGCACTTTGGAGAGAGGATGGGCTCTTAAAAAAAAGAGAGAAGTCAAAAGATTTACTGAAACTCAAAAATCCTTTATGACCAAGAAATTCAACCAAGGTGAATCAACAGGATTCAAATGTGAACCTGAAGAAGTGGCACGAGAGATGAGGAGTGTAAAAAATGACAATGGTGAACGAATTTTCCACTATGGAGATTTTCTCTCAGCATCTCAAATTGCAAGTTTTTTTAGCAGACTTTCGTTAAAGAAAAGGCAGATGTCTAACACTGACTATGAAGAAAATGACTTGACAGCTGAAGGGAACATGAACAATTTGAATCAGATTTCTGATGTGGCTCTTAAAGCAGTGAACTAAAATACATTTTCTAACTAAAATAAAGATTTTAATATCAAATTTTTTGGAAGGGGGATATAGGAATCACCCTGTTTGCTTGTCCATCTGTCTATCTGTCTGTGGACAACACTTGGATACGTTCAGCGAATCAGTGTTTAGGTCTGTTCCTGCTTATGACAAGTGGTATACAAACCAACCTTGTATGGATGGTTTGTCTGTGGATGGTGTGTCCATTGAATGCTTCGGATGCTGCAAGTGACCTACATTTTATGCTTTAGTGACTTTGGTAAAGTACAGCTTTTATGTCTGTTCCCACATTATTACAAGTGGTATATAAACCAAACTTGCTTGCATGGTTTGTCTATGACTGCTGTGTAAAATGAATGTGGCGGATGCTGCATGTGACCTTCATTTTATGCTTGAGTAACTGATTAAATTCATCGTATAGTACTGTTGATAGTGAGTGATGTTGCCCCATAAGAGGGGGGGGGGGGCATTTGTCCTGTTAGTACTGCTCTAGCTCTAGTTGGTTGGATAAACATGATAAAGAAAGAAATGGTTATGAAAGAATTTGCTTAAACTTAGACTAACATAGATAATATCTGAAATCGAATGTGTCATACTTCTTGTTTACTGTGCATAAATGTACACTGAAGAACATTTATAATTATTTCTAGCAAAATATCTCTGTAAAATATTTGACTGTACACTTCAGAAAACATTTAGTCTCAGAATCAGATACCAGATATGCTATAGTGGTGCCTAGTTGTGTCGCCTGCATAGCAAGGGGACACTTAGGGATCACTTCTCCATCGTCTGTCAGTCTGACCGTCTGTCCATCAGTCCATCTGTCTGTCACACTTTGAAATAAGTCATCCGCAGGAGACACACATATTCGATGGAACACTCTTTTTTACGTTCATATCTTTGATACTTTTAGTGAGCATTGATATTTGACCAGTTGATTGATCTTTGATAGTAAAACAAGATAAACTTTAATATAAAGATGCTTTAAGCTACATTTTCACAAGGGAGCCTTGCTGATGTTTAGGTTTATGTTCATGTGAATGAGTATAAGGTCGTCTTGTGTTTCACCGACACTACCTCTCGTTGTTTTTAGGTTCATAACGAATAACAAACATGGTATAGCAATGAAAATTAGCCAGTAGATAGAGCTTTGGAGTCCCTTTGGGTTGTTGCCTCATTTTGACATATAATTTCGGTTTTCGTTATATATGGTGAAGTTTTCGCGTATTTGGTCCACATTTTGACTATATTGTATGAGACATTGTACAGCAATGATACTTATTATTACTTATATGATAGGTAAGTACAACAGGGTTGACAGTTGATTAGTATGCCATGACCCAAATATTCCACTTGAGAGGCTTTATTTTCCTGGGTACATGTTTCATGTTTTGCTGATCCCAGTCAAGTCGGTTGCTAGGGTATAAATTTCGTTGCTATGGAGATTTCTTTTCCTATTGTTTTGTAAAAAAGTCATACATTTTGTAGAGATTATCGTACAGTACTATGTTTCTGTAAATTTGGTATCTAACTGTCAAATATCTGTTGTAATATTAAAAAAAAAATTGCCAAAACGTGCGAAAATCCTTTGAAAGTGTTTTGAAAAAATTGCGAATTTTGATTTCTGAAAAAAAAAATTGGGACATCCGACTACCAATTTTTTTTTTATTATTTCATAGTATTGGGATATATCTTCAACTTGATATGACATACAATATCTCGGGTTGTTGCGTTTTTAAGTATTCAACTTTTGAAAAACTTAATTTTCCACAGATATTCCCATCATGAAAACCTTGTCATTTTTCGGTTACCATAGCAACCATATCAAAATTTCATAAAATACTTACAGACATACAGATATTTTCTCCTTATGCATCTTTCATTATTTCTGTATCAAAAACAAATTTAGACCTTCCAATTGTTCCCCCTCTGCACTTGAATATGTCTAAATTTGTATTATTTTACAATGTTTCATTGAGAATTTACTATGCAAATCACATTTGTTGCCATGGAAACCAATGATAATGAATAAATTTGTTGAATTTGTCTAAAATGTGTTTTTTGTTGTTGTTCAAATGTTTTAGGGTGGTTTTTGCCCAATTCAAAATTTTTGACTTTCCATGTAAAGCTCAATGGTTACTGACACGGCCTCTTAAGGAAATAGAAATTTAGTTTTATGTAATAGTAGAAGACTTGTGAACATGATTTTTTAGTCTTTATTAACATTAATTGCATACATGAGTTTTTAATAAAACATAATTTGTATTTAATTTTATTAATAACAAAAGGCCCAAGGGCCTTACTGGTATAATGCAACAATTTTGAGGATCCATAGAGTATAAAACGAAATGAAAGTTGAAGCTTTGTTGCCCAAAAGCAAGAAAAATAGGTTGATCAAGATCAACAAAATAATTAATCTAGTATCCATTAACAGTTCATAAATTAGGTTCTAATCTGTTCCCCATTAATCACTATTACCATACAGTATATTAGCAAACTATCAGTGCTTCTGTACTATTTTAATTCCTTGTTGAAATCTCTTACATAGGCCTCTCTTGGTCTTTGATGAACATTTAATAGGACAAGTTATTCTTTTTTATTTATCTATTACTTACAAGTCCACCTGATCATTGAAACTATGAAAATACTTTTTGTATTATACAATATAAAATTCTTGCATAATTCTCTTATTCTATTTACCTTTCAAGTACATTATTTACAGACTACAGTGATTTATTATGAAAAGTAAACGGCAAAGGGGAATAACTCCTCTCAGTAGAATACAAATTAATAGAGCCCTGGCCAGGACCAGAACTCTTGACCAAATGGTTCAGATGTTCAAAAATCTGGTAAAAATACTCTTCCTTATCAAAACTTTTACTCTTTTTGCCTCTGATCTGTCTAAGTGCAGAGATGATTTTTAAAGAAGTAATGCATTTTTACTACAGATTCACTATATTATCAATAGAGCCCCCCCCCCCCCCCCCGAGAAACACTAGAGCCTCTCACCTGGGACCAGAAGTTTGCTCATCATAAGTAATCTTTTTGTTTATCTGCTTAACACTAAGGAGCAGACAGGATTATTAGATTTAATGCATTTTCACTATACACCAGCACATCTGACCCAGGGTCATGCAATTCACTACTCTGGAAGAAACCAGCTGTTGAACATGTGAAGTTACAAGGACCTGACTAGTCTGTACAGTCTGTGGAACATGTAGAAATGCTGCAACCGGGTTTGCCTCCTAAATAAATATATATATATGTGCAAAACAAAATTAATTGCGATTATGTTTATGCCTGCAAATACTTCAGATACATTACTACTGCAAGTTATTTCGATGCATGTTAAATAGAAATTTAACATGCCATTAAACAAATGTTTTTAAAATAAAATAAATTAATATATAGTATTAAATAAACTAATTGATTTTTATGAAACAGCAATGGCTGCTGCATAGGGGTCTGTATAGCCCCAGCTGGCAAGGAAGGGGAGGAGTCACAGATATAGCCCCAGACGCTGATTGGTTAGGCTGTATAGCCCTCCTGTCAAGCAGACCCAAGAAGGGGAGGGGTCACAGATATAGCCCCAGACGATGATTGGTTGGGCAGATATAGCCCCAGACGATGATAAGTAAAGGGGGAAGAGAGTCAGATATAGCCCTAAAAGATGATTGGTTGAGATATAGCCCCCCTTGCAAATCAGAAAACGGTTAGATAAAGCCCTCAGAAATAAATAGATAATAGAATAGTAGGAGGAGTAAATGCTACCGGTGTAATATAGCACCAGCAAATGAATGGTTGTTAAAAAAAAGGGGGAATGGAGAATGTTATTCAGAATATGTATATAAACAGCTGTAGTAATATGTAATAACATACAGTACCTTAAAAATGGACGATTTTCTAATAGTGTCATCAAAGAGACCTCATGAAGAGGACGAAGAAGAAAAAGATATTAAGCGAGTTAAACCATACAGCAAGAATACGACTGAAGAATTTGACATAGGAAATGATTGTCACGTTTCCGCACAGACACATGACGGCAACTTGTACATACACATACGATATTTTGAGACCAGTCCTACTGGGAGAAAGTATCCTTCAAAGAGGGGTATAGTTCTACATTTAGAAAAATGGAAGAAATTGACGGAGGATTGTATCGATGAAATTGACAAAGCCTTACAAGATGCACAAAAAGAAGATGGCAATGTCTCTTACAAAGAACATTTCGGCCATAACGTACATGTTACAGTGGAGCAGGAGTACAAATTGGTAGATATAAGAAAATGGTGGAAGCCAGAAGACTCAGAAAATATCGTGGCAACCAGAAAGGGTATTTCTCTGCCTGTTGCAATGTGGAAAGAACTTAAAAAGACTATCCCAATTCTCAGAAAGAGGTTTCAAAAAGAGTTAGACGATATTAGATATTGTTATCTTGATCATAACAACCAAATGTCAATGTTAAAATGTCCTAGCTGTAATCCAAACGAATACATGAAATATTAAATGATGATCTAAAATATGTTGTTATGTATGCAGAATAAAAAAAAAAGATTTAATTATGTGGTATCAAAAAAAGGTATGCAGTTAGTTATATGAAAAGAGGTAACATATTTAAGTATTGATTAGTAATAAAAATGTTGTCCAAGGAGGAGGAACGTTATTTAAATAATATATGGACAGATACAAAACACCCTGCCGCATTTAGTGGCCCATACAAATTATATCAAGTTGTAAAACGTGAAGGAAAATACAAAATTGGCTTGCACAGAATCAGACAATATTTGTCCGATACGGATGCATACTCACTACAGAAAAGAGTGCAACGGAAATTCAAACGACGTCATATCATAACCGATTCAATTGACTCTATCTGGGATGGAGATTTACAAGACGTAAGAAATATTTCAAAGTACAACGACGGAATTCAGTATATTTTGGTACTACAAGACATTTTTTCCAGATTTCTTTTTACAGCCCCACTAAAACAAAAGACAGCAAATGAAGTGATTAAAGGTCTACGATCAATATTTGCAAAAGGGCGTAAACCTAAAATACTCCGAACGGACAAAGGAAGCGAATTTAAAAACAGATGGGTGATATCATTTTTAAAGAAAGAAGGAATTCATACAATTTACACAGAAAACGAGACAAAAAGTAATTTTGCAGAGCGTAGCATTCAGAAATTGGAGAACATACTACATCGAATGTTTGTACAGAGAGATTCATACAAATTTGTTGATGAATTAGCAAACATTACTCAAAGCATTAACGCAACACCGACTAGATCACTAGGAAACATGGCTCCAGTAAACGTAACAAAAGACACACAGGAAGAGGCTAGATTTAATGCATTTTTAGAAAGAACAAAAAGAGATAAACATGTAAACGGAAAAAAGATTTCCATAAAAGGGAAGACAAAACGAAAGCAATACAAATTCAAAGTAAATGATCGAGTTCGAATTTCTCATTTAAAGCACACCTTTCAACGCGAATACGATCAGAAATGGACGGGAGAAATATTCATAATAACCCATAGATATCGTCACGAAGGTATAGACGTATACCGTCTGAAAGACTATGCAGATGAACCAATTTCCGGTACATTTTATGCACAGGAACTACAGAAAGTCAATAAAAAGGAAGACACTGTATGGAAAGTGGATAAAATTTTAAAAGAGCGGACAAGAAAGGGTGAAAAAGAAGTATTGGTATCTTGGTACCAGTGGCCTTCAAAGTACAATTCCTGGATAAAAAAATCAGAATTGATTAACCTGTAAATTTACATAAAATAGATATCCGGATGGTTTTAAAATGTACAGATAGCCTTGATCTGTACAGGGACAATAAGCCTTATGATTTTTACGTTCATCTGCCAAGACCATTAACGTTAATGGGGCAGTGGTCAGTAGCATTACTAGAGACTTGTTTACCTTCAACTAAAGGAAAAACGGATGTTTATATTTGCACAAATCTTTGTGAGGATACGATAGTCGGGAACAAAGAACTTCCATTATTAAGGCGTGTAAGTTTAAAAAAAATCTGCACCGAATGAAATATTTACATATCCTTATGAAGTGTCCACGAGACTAGGTCAAGTTCACGACGTACACATATATATATAAAGGATGCAGCTGGACAGGACGCCTTATTTTTAAAAGAGGAAACATCTGTGACATTGTTATTGAAGTTGAAAAGTTTATAAAGAAGAAAAATGAGTGGACCAACATACGTATCTGATCCTAGAATATGGAAAACATTTTACAAAAACATGTTAGACGGAAAATTTAATCCACGAAATTATAAAGGGAGGCAGTCCGGCAGCGGCATTGCAGGAATGTATTCTAAGAAACCTTACATGATACCAGTTAATCCACATATTACTGTCGAAGAACCGAAGGAAATAGTAGGCAAACAGGTGACTCCAATTGCAGCAGCAGAAGAACGAGCCAAAGGAGAATTAAAAGAGGAAATGCGTGAAAATATTCCACACGTTCCCGTAGGCAGTATAAAAGTGGAAAACGATCCGAAATCCTCCATTTCAATCAAGAGGAGGAAGAAGTCAGGGGAAAGAGCATCAGACAGTACTTTAAAAAAAAAACTCAAAATAGAGGATACAAACTTGGCATCCAATATATTTTCATCCGAAAAGAGCAAGAGAAGAAATGGCTTTTCTTAGTGACAAAATTACTGAAATTGGTCTACCTGCTGAATTGTCTTTATTTACCGTACCACCTAATCAAGTTGCAGTAGAAAAAATATATTATGCGGAATACCGACCAGTGTCAGCATATAACACGGACGATGCCCCGATAGAAATCTCCATACCTGGTCAAGGAAACGAATATATTGATTTACGACGAAGCCGTTTATATGTAAAATGTAAAATAGTCAAAGCAGATGGAACAGCTTTAGCAGCCCAAGAAAAAACTGGCATTATAAACCTCCCTCTACAGTCATTGTGGTCCCAGATAGATACTTATATGAACGGAAAGTTAGTGTCTCTGAACACTAGTTATTACCCATGGAAAGCCTATTTAAAAATCATCTTGTCCAGTGGCAATGATGCTTCAGATTCGCAATTACAATCTCAACTATTTTTCTTAGACGATGCAACAATGGACGATGGAAATGCATACGGTGGAACAAACGGCGGTTTGGCAAAAAGGTATACATTTACAAAGGAGAGCAAAGTTTTTGATTTGGAAGGACCGTTATACGAGGACATTTTCCGTTTGGATAAATACATATTGAATGGTGTCGACGTAAATCTAAAGTTATTCCGAAGCAGAGCACCCCTACTGGTAATGAGTGCAGAATCAACTCCTGCATACAAAGTACTGCTGTTGGACGTCTCCTTTAAAGCCTGCATGATTAAAGTAGATAGTGGTGTTTTGATTAATCATGCAGAAATATTGAAAGAAACTACAGCCAAATACCCATTGATACGAACAGAAGTAAAGATGAACACTTGCTCTACGGGATCTGGAAGTTTTATATGGCAAAACGTTTGGTCTAACAATCTCCCAACAAAGGCATATTTTGCGTTCATCTCCCAGACTGCAGTAAATGGTAGTTACACCAAAAACATATTTAATTTTCAAAATTTGGCAGACGAAATTGCACTGTACGTGAATGGCGAAAGCATGCCAGCAAGACCCATGAAAATTGACGTAGGAGCGAACGGGAACCACGTCACAGCATTCGTGAATCTATTTGAAGTGGCTGAGAAATGGAACAAAGACTCCGGACTAAGCATAACGCGCTCCATGTTCAGCGAGGGATTTGCAGTTTACGCATTTAGTCTCGCTCCCAGCGATCTAGGAGAAGATTATATAAATTTGGTTCGCCAGGGAAGCGTCAGATTAGAAGTGAAATTTGCAGTGAATACAACAGAAACATTAAATTGTTTGGCTTATGCAGAATTTCCCGCTTTACTCGAAATTGATCAATCAAGAGACATTAAGTACACCCGAGTATGAATGCCCGTGAGTTATTAACGCGAACAAAAAATAACAGGCATACCGCTGATGTAATAAGAGGTGTCTTTTCTTCAAACAATCTGCCACAAACAGTACCCAAATACCCATCTGCATACATTTGCAACACCGATCCTTCATATTTGCCAGGAAGTCACTGGGTAGGGTTCTGGATGCACAGCCCGAAGCATGCCGAATTTTACGACAGTTTAGGGAATGCCCCGGGATATTACAACGCTGCATTTGATGTGTTTTTACAAAATAACTGTGAAAATTGTTTGTACAATAATGTTCAGATCCAAAACAAGGAGAGTATTTCATGTGGATATCATGTTTTGTTTTACATATGGATGAAATGTTATAATTATTTAATGTCACAAATAATAAGAATATTACTCCGCTGTGCTAACCCTGATACTTATGTCAAAGAGTTTGTACATAAATATCTGTAGAAGGGAGAACAAAAAGTGTTGCTTATAAATAGTTTCAACACAGTACAAATGTTGATCAGTTGAGCTCTGGTACTGGAAGAAAGAAGTATGCATTGGTGGGAAAACGAATCCATTTTACCATTTCAATCACCCACAACCTGTATGATATCAGGCGCAACAATGTCAGGAAAAACCCATTTTATTTATCGCATTTTACGAAATGCAAACGGAATGTTTGAAATTCCACCGCAAAAAATAGTTAACTGTTATAGTCAGTATCAACCTTTGTTCGAAGACATGGAACAAAACATTCCGAATTTTAGTTTATACCAAGGGCTACCTTCTAGAGATCAGATAGAAGAATGGACAGAAGGTATGAAACATACCGTGTTGATTTTAGACGATTTAATGACACAAGTATCAAAATGTGAAGAAACCGTTGCAGTTTTTAGCATCACAGCACATCACAAGAACTGCACAGTGTTTTTTTTAACCCAAAATTTATTTTGTCAGTCAAAGACTTTTCGAAGTTTGTCATTAAATTGTCATTACGTGGTTTTGTTTCGTTCCTTGAGAGACTCAAGGCAGATCTTGTCATTTGGAGCCCAAGTATATCCAGGTCAGTCCTCGTATTTCAAGGACGCATATCAGAAAGCAACATCAAAATCATACGGATACCTACTGATTGATATGAATCCAGCCAGTCAAGATCAATATAGATTGCGCACGCATATATTTCCACAGGAAGACACCATGGTATATTTACCGAAGGAATAATACAAAAAAGAGTTAGTTGGAGGACCATGAGCCTTCTGGTGACATCAAATGCAGCATTCCTTAAAACATTATATTCAGCGGACCCCAAACAAAGGAAAGCTTTATTAAAAACGATGACTGAAAATCAACAACAGGCTTTGTGTGAGGTAATTTTAAACGTGTACAAAGGGACATTTCCATTAACAAAATACTATATTAAGAGATTGTCTCCTCATCAAAACGTCATTCATAAACTGAGCAGCAAGTCGGTAAAGAAGAGTGTCAAACGGAAACTATTACTACGGGAACATACAATACTACCTATTTTACTTAAACCGTCATTGAGTGTACTAAATAATGTCTCGGGAGTTACTTTTAATACCAAAAGAAAAGTATGACATGCTCTTAAAATCAAAAGAACAGCCACCGATCAGTCAAGAAGAAAAAGAAGAATTACCGAGAGAACAATCAGTATCAAAACAAACACAAACTTCTAAAGAAGAAGAACAAGAAATTTCAAGAAAAAAGAAGAAGAACAAGAAAAATCAACAAGGTTTTGGATTTATCGTCAAAAAGAAAACAAATGGACCCCCACCTGGATTTTCTGTGCATAAGACTATACAAAAAAAGAAGAAGAAGCAGCAGCAATGGTTTAAACTTTAATCATAACATTATAATTTATTTTGTTAAAATACACAATAAATAAATTTAAGAAAAAAAAAACTGGAGATATGTTTTTTTTTTATGTAATATACTGGTCACACCCCCCCCCCCTCCTTGTTTAATTACATGGACATCAGAGGGAGAGGAGGGGGGGGGGGGAGGTAGAGCATTTAATTACTATAAAACTTTATCAATATCCGTAAGGCAAAGTGTCATACGAATCCGGTTGTATTGCTCTCTTCGAATAAACAAGTTGATATTGTTTATTTTCTACAGTGTTATAAATTTTATATAAGTATTTAGACCTAGTGATTTTTGCAGGATTTGTAACAGTCAAAGTTTTGCTCTGGTCAGTTGTAACAATATCTAACATGGAATGAAAGTTTAAGATTTGTGAATTTTTATAATTGAGTGAAAACCCGCGAATGCGACAGATCTGCTCTCCTTGAAGTGATCTAAAGGCATAGTTTTTAGGACCACCAGACACGATCTCTACAATGTAATCGTCAGGAGAAGGTAACTCGTTCGTCAACTGCCCAAGGTAAGGTCAAATTTCTGGTTCTACATCGTCTCGTCTACTGACAAAAATTACGGAATCTGTATCGAAATATAAGACACGTCTGTCAAGCATGTGTAAAACGTCGTAAAGTTTTAGCCTAGCCCAACAGGTAGTGAATGCTGCAATAAAGATATTTGTCTGGTAATCTTCTTTAACGAGATCGCTTTTGTTTTTCCATGTAGTATGGATCATTTCATCATTAATGATATGAAAGTCTGTGACCTCTTTAGACGGATCAAAAAGACTTGTAAAAAATTTGTCAGCTTCAGTATCGTGATAAAAGGATGTTTGAGGCATGTTTAAGCGCTGCCCAAATTTCCCCCAAAATGAATTTAAAAGTAATTTGGCAATAGATCTCAATGCGGGATTTTTGCTAATAGCATCGCGGTCTAGTTGAATATTTTCCCTAGCTGCATAATCAAAAATATATTTCAAAGCATCATCTTCCGTTTGTATGTCTGCAGGCAAACCGCTAGCCTCTTGTTTAATTTTGAGAAATAAATCAATATATCCACCGAAAAGGTCATTTTCAGGGTCACCAGGTAAAGAAACGCAATCAAAATGATACACTTCGTACATTTTAACAATCTTGTAACCAGCTTGAACTGCCCGAACGAGCTCTGGTGTACACTATGTTCCTGTGATACACCGGTCCTCATCAGAGCAAGTACAACGCAGTTGTCTCTCTTGTTCTGCACAACTTTTACACAAAGCAAACACTAGTTTTTCATTTATTCGTTGCGGTAGAACGGGAAAGTAAAGATTTCTAGGGGGTAATACTTTTACCTTGGCTAACCCAAAATAATTCTCAATGCTTTGAAAATCCCTAGTTATGATTTGGGGATGTTTAAGTGGATATTTACAATACTTGTTGACGGACGGATAAAGAGAACAAAAATCTAAATAATGAATTTTTTCATCTTCTTCAACTTTCTTGTACAACTTAACAGCGTTAGTTCTCCCTCCAAAAAATGCATCTCGGGGGTTCAGCCTTTCCTGTAAGTCTAAAGAGGCTACAAAGTCGGAAACTTCAGTGTTGTCTGCCATTAACTGCACAAAGTCGTGCTCCCAAATAGTCACAACATTCATGCCGAGAGATTCGAGATATTTTTCTTTTTTTATAGTTAATGCAAGCAGTTCATCTAAGGTTTGGTTAGTGCGCGGCACGCGGAGTCTACGTTTGTTTGGGTAACGTATAGAACATCCGTGCCACAGACACCCGTTAAATTCATAAGCGGTGTTTGTTTCCCTACAATAGCCATCTAATTTATATTTTGAATTGGGAATTTTATATTCCCCCTCGTTTAAAGCATGTGTTATATATATCGGAACATTTCCTTCTCTTTTTTCCTTTTCCATAACCCATTCTAACCACTCGATAGAAGCTTTACTATACTGATCGCGATGATATCCCGAGGACGGAACTTGGGCAAGGGGACTATCGAGAAATTGCTCCTCCTCTACAAAATAATCCTCGTCTTGTAAGGCCTGCGTGTTAACCCACCCCCTTCCCGCAATGTTTACGCGAACCTCCCCATCCAATCGCCTGGCTTCTGCCCATAAGACTTCATCCTGGTGTCTAAGTTTAACTTTTAAGTCCTCATGCAGAAATTTAGATTTAAAAACTGCCATGCAAACACTGGCAATGGTTATATGTTGGAACGGATCTACGCTACCTTTTAGATAATATTCAATGTTCCCATCGTCATTTAGTTCAAAGTCACCTTTACCTGTTATTTCCATTAAAATTTCTCTAAACTTTAAACAGGCTTGACGAAGTATATCAACATCACTTCGACAATATTCTACAATTTCTTTGGCAAAATCAAATTGTTCATTGTTATTAATTTTCGTCTGATACCAGGTTAAAAATTCGCTGCGGTCTGTATTACTCATTGTATCACATCCATAATGAGCAGGATCGGGGTACGGCCCCACGTAACTTTGATTATTATTTGTGTTGAAGAAATGAGGGAAATAACCTTTTTTTGATTCGCTTAAACCAAAAGCTTTTGGTAGATTGGATAGTTTTGTAGGCAAAAAATTGTAGGAGTCGACAATTCGAGTGTTTATTTGATTCGCGACATGTATATACATAAGTTTTAATCCCAAATAGATAACTTCCGGTATGATACTGTTCTCGACTAGATATTCTAACAAAAACTTCCGGTATGATACTGTTCTCGACTAGATATTCTAACAAAAAATACCCGTCATATCCTTTCATGTTATGAGCTATCGCGGTATAATTTTTATGTTGCTCTGAAAAAAGCCACTGACCAAAGTCTTGTTTTATATTTTCTCCTCGAAACACGACTTCGCGAAAACCGCAGGTCTGTTCACAGGGTTCACTACTGAAACAATCGTTTTCATGATCAAAATGATCACATTCAGGACATCGCGTTCCGCAGAATTGACACTTAATGTCGATTTGTTGTTCATCTATACACATCTTGCAAACGTTCTGAGCAATGACTAAATTTGGAACGTGTTCAAACTTTCCGCAATGAGACTGTTGACAATTTGAACACAACAAACAAGTCGGTCCGGTGCAGGCTTTACATCGCGCGGGGTCGTGAGTATATCCTTCGGGA